CCTCCCCCCCCCTCCCAAGCCGGCCAGGGAAGGGCTACATTACTGCCCTCACCAGAAGAGCTGCTAGTGAAGAAAGTGGTTATGCATCAGTTGTTGGGACTCGATACAGCATTGACAAAGGTTGATTAGCGCTAGGCCTCAGAATAAGCATTGTCAAATGATGCATAGCATCCTATCTTAGAAACGTACACATCACACATACTAAACAAACAGTTCATAAACTAGACTGTAGCCAAATGTTGGGATTCAATACAGAAATACGGCACCGCTAAATGCTGTTCAAAGACTAGGACTTAGGACTCAGTACAATATTACTAAATGCTGCTAAATGCAATCTACACAGATTCTACAGTCAACACTAAACCACTAAATCATATACACTGACACATACACACCATACGCACTACACGATGGTGAATGTACGCCTGCAACAGGCGGCCTACATGCATAATTACTGTGTATCCTGTGACATTTGTAAGATGGGACGCTGGGCCCGGTTCCAGCAGGTGCTGCTTCCCACCAATAGATGGAGCCTCCCCCGGACCACCTTGAAGTGACTGCTCCTACCAGCACCTCAAGCTGCCTCCGTGGCTGTTTGTAAAAAAAATAAAATAAAATAAATATAAAAAAAATGGCCTGCCGCTTTTGGTACTGGACCAGGCCCCAATCAATATGTTCTTACTGTGTATGCTGGTAAGAGCACTACTTCAGTGGTTTAAGCCTTAAACCACCAGTACTTCCTAGAGTCGTGCCCGTTAACGCGCCACGATTTTAGGAAACGTGTGGGCTACTACAGGAGCGCCCAAATTCATCAGACTAGAAACGTTTCTACTCTATTTTTTTCCGCGGCCGATAGCGGGGCCAAGTACTGGTGGTTTAAACCACCAGTACTTGGCCCATACATCGGCCGCGGGCCGTTAACGGCCCGCAACTTCCGGGCTTCGGGGTACCAGACCTAAATGGCTGGAAGGGCCAGCCAAAACCAAGTCGAAACAGCGCCGCTACAGTTCGGGAAAACTTGGCGCGCAGGGGCTACATCGATGGCTGGGCCAAGGACTGGTGGTTTAAGGTTCAATCCTCTGGGTCAGCTACATTTCCTGAAAAAACATAAGGCTGTGACACTGTGGGCTTTGCATAAGCAAGCCGAAGCACAGAAGCATGCATTAGTTTGCAGTTTAAACCTTAAACCACTTCTAACATCTAGTCAGGATGTTAGTCTTAAAAAAAAAAAAAAAAAAAAAAAAAAAAGAACTTCAAAAAAGTTCAAACCACTAGCACTTCTGAAAAGTGTGGCCATGCATGCACCAGCAATTGCTACAGTGATCAGACGGTATGTTTCGAAGGAATTTTTTTTATAGAGAAATAAAGGCGGACGCGACATGTTTTGAAACCCTAAAGGGAAAAAAAACTTGCGCCGGCAGAGAAACCACGCACAAACTCGAAATGAGCGATTTCGGTCCAGAAGTATCCATTGGGCATTTTCTTTTTTTTTTTTGTTTTCCCCTTTGACACCATGACTGAACCCTGTAAATATGACACCCGGTCTGACACCACAGCAGCCGGTACTTCCGTCGCCTTTTTCAACTCGGCGTGGTTTTCATTGCCGTCGCGTGTTTTTTTTGCCCCATTCGATACTCAAAGGTGACACGAACGTACTTACCCCTTTTATAGATGTGTGGCGAGCCCGTTCATCCCAGTGTGTCTTGGCGCGCGCACGGCCGCACTTTCGGGAACGACAGGAAGTACTCATGGTTTAAAGTTTGAAGTTTGAACCCTCTCTCCCCCCCTTGCAAAAAGGGACAACTTCGAAAAGAGATATTAAACGCCTAGTACTCGGTCTACACCTGAATGGCAGATTCCTCAGTGCATGATGTGGGCCTGGAAGCACAGAGGCCCAGATGCATTCTTACTGGGGAAATTCCATCCTTTCAAACATAAAGGAGCTATTATGTCCTTCATCCACAAAAAAAACAAAGGAGAAAGAAGAGGAATGGCAAGGTTTGAGCCCCAGCTGCCCCACACACGCAGAGGACATGCAGAAAATTCAATGAATGTGATAGTCCAACAAGTTGAACTGAGATCTCTTGCTGGGTTCTAATCAGTCAGTCTATATATATATATTTTTTTTTTTCTTCTTTTTTTTTTTAAATTAAAACACCCCTTCCAGTGTTAGTGCTGCTGATAAGAGAAGACAGCACTACCACCGGCGGAGAGGCTCCGTCTATTGGTGGGGAGCATCACCTGCTGGAAATCGGGTCCAGCGTCCCATTTCACATGAAAGGAGTGATTTGGAATATCCAGGGTATGAGTGAGTGGCCGTGGATCCTGCCAGCATTGATTACCCTGCAAAATCAGGGGATTGACTGAGCAGGCTTATGTGTAAAAACCAGAAACGTCTTGTACGTTGTCTGCCAGCATTGATTGCCCTGTCAGATCAGGGGATTAACTGAGCAGACCTGTGTAGGCTTGGGAAGCAGATGTTGCCTTTGTATCTCTTCACCCTCAAAGGGGAGGGCGCCAGATTGGAATTTTAAGGACTGATACTGTCACCAGCTGTCTGCTCCCAAGCCCGCCTGCTGACTGCCAATATTCTTCTTGCGGATGGGTTTTCATGAATTCCGTTCACGTCAGTGACTATTTCATCTCAGGGCCAAAAACCAGAAAAAAACTAGGTCCCCGCTGCACAGATTTAGAGATATGGTCCGTACGCAGCGAAGGTAAACAGCTGATATTCAGATGTGTGTTAGTGGGACCTTGCCTAAGATTTAGAAAGCTTGTCTATTTTCTTTTCTTTTCTTTTCTTTTTCTTTTTTTTTTTTTGATTGAACATCGATGACGGGGTGTAGGGGTCTTGTCGGAAGTTCGGGGAAAAAAAATATTCTGATAGATCAGCTAAGTCTGGTGTCAGTGAGGCGATAGTGTCACTTGGAATGTAGGGTTTGGTGGAAGTACTGTTAGGACTCAGGAGTGGTTCATGAATTCTCATAGCCTCTTCTGAAATTTCCTTAACTGAAGCTGGGTAATGGCTTCGGTAATATCTAAAGTATCATCAAATGCTCATTATGATATCTTATTATGCGGGATGCTGGGCCCAGTTCCCAGCAGGTGCTTAAAAAAAAAAAGGAAGAAGAAGAAGTTCTGACAGGCAAAGTCACTGTTGTGTACTGTTGCAGATGCGCAGGGAGCGTATCAGCAAGCGGATGAAGATTTTGAGCGCTATCGTCATGCCTAATGCCATTCCCAGCAAGGTAACTTTTTGATATTTTGTCAAACTTAATCCCCTGGTGTGCAGGGCAATCATTGCTGGCAGGTGGACAGAGTGTCCAGACTCCCAATGTGTAATGGGTTGCTGGACCCGCTTTCCAGCAGGTGCAGCTGCGAACTAAAAGATTGAAGCAACCAGGAAGCCCCCTAGGGGAGAGGTGCTCTTACCACACCTTCTAATGGGGGGGCTGGCTTTCAAAGAAAAAGAAAAATAGAATAAATACGAAAAGATTCAAAAGAATGAATTAAAAAAGAAAAGGGAAAATAAAAAGAAAACAGAATGCAAATAGACAACTGCGGCCACTGGCATAAAAATTGGTAAAATGGCAAAATGCATGCATTGATGGTATTATGATTTGAAAAGATTAGCTGCATGTTTGTCTGACTCTGGCGTTATGGGCTCTTCTCTGTTACTTCGTTTTCCCCCCCCCTGTTTTATTGTTTTGGAAAAAACTATCACTTCATCAATATTTAAAAAGTGATGTGCCGGAGGTCCCTCACAGTCTACCGGGACCCAGCTAAGGATCATGGAGATGAATTGCTTGAGAGAGTCATCAAAAGGATGGCTAACGGGACAGGGCTTCATACACCAATGGTAGGAAGGGCCCTTGCAATAGATAATGTTATTCCCTCTATGCTAGTACCATATGGTCTAAGGTCGTATTTCGGCTGCTTCACGGGAGCCCACTCTCCAGGTGCACTAACAGCCTTTCTACGGAAAAATGACCAAAAATTAACCTTCTGCGTTAAAAAAGTTGCATGGAAATATATTGCACCTTTTTTTTTTTTTTTTTTTTGTAAAAACATGCCCCCACCAGTGTTAGTGGTGCTGGTAAGCCCACCACACTCTTTTTTTTCTTTTTTTTTTTTTGGGGGGGGGGGGGGGGGAAGGAAACAAAAGCTCCAATCTATTTGTGGGGAGCATCACGTGCTGAGAGCCGGACTCAGCGTCCCTTTGAAGTACAACCAAGAATATGTAACACATTTGAAGTTCCAGGGCCATTACCCGGCTTCGGCTAAGAAAACAATCACTGACAGTTGATTACCAAACCTGCGAAACCTATGAGAAACAACTTTAAGAAAAACTGCAGTTCTCAGAAAAAAAAAACTGCCTATGATCTACCCAACCACAGTCCACACCTGGAAACAGAAGATCCTAACTAAAACCTCGTACTGTTTACACCTCCCCTTCAACAAGCGAAAAAATGTTAAGTCCAAACGTTTAGTCCTCGTACCAGAACTCGGCTGATCTCATACCCCCCTATGCTAGGGTTACAGAGCAACACAAACTTCCCCAGTATCGACCAGCCTGGCCAAGAGTGCCTTCCTCCCTCGACACTCTCGATGAGCCACACGACCCTAAGTTACAGGGAAAACCCCCCGGCATCAGCTACGTCGGACAACCTGGTTATGCCCTCCTCCCTCGACATAACTCCACAGACCTCTTGCTCCTCCAGGTTACAGAGCAAAAGCTCCAGCACCAGCCTGTGTCGTCCCAATTTTGTCCTCCTGACCTACTTACTTAGACCGATGTCCCTTCCCATGTTGAACCCCCCTTGCTTCCTACCATCTTTCAGTTCTACTCTTCTCCTTCCCCCCCTAACATTCTATCCACAATCTCCCTAATCATAGGCAGATCTCTTTTTTTTTTTTCTTTTTTTTTTTTAAGAAAGCTTGGATTTTTTTTTTTTTTTTTTTTTTTTTTTTTTTTTTTAAGAAAGCTGCAGTTTTATTATATGAAAGTCGACGAGGGCCATGAGGCCATCCCAAGGACTGCCTGCCATTTGGATTTCCTCGCCATTCTTGTCTCTGCAGACAGACCTTGGAACGGCCTCATGGCCCTCGTTATATGAAAGTCGATGAGGGCCATCGGCTTCAAGGATTGTCTCTGCAGACAGACCGGCAAGTCACAAAAATGCTACAACTCACATAATCGGGCCCGTACGGTCCTGGTTCCTTTCTATCCTGGGGAGTTTCAGTCTCTGGTTCGTCTTGCACCGGCAAGTCACAAAACACAAGTCAGACGCTTCCTTATGTTATGGCCGAAGTAGCTCCTGAACGACATGATTTTGATTGCTCCCCCAGTGGAAGGAAGATTGACGGAAAGGTGCAGGCCGTGTTTTCCTTCTGAAATTCCACGCTGTCCACATTGACGTGGGGTATCAGATTAACATAGACAGCTGGAGTCCTTCAGGACGGGATGCAGGGAAAAACAATGGCGAACTGATCCCAGAAACATCTCTGTCATTTTCGTTGTCCAACCTGTCAGGCCTATGCTTGGCACGAGTTTGGGGGCCTCCCCATTTTCGTTTCCATCAGATCTCTTTTCTCTTTTCCTTTGTGCCTTGGTTGTGTGTCTTGGCGTGACGAGCAGGGGTACAGAGGGGGTTCAGATGCTATTGGGCTGGGGGATGAATGCCGGATGATGATGTAT